GTATAACTTTGTCTTATATAAATTATAAAAGTTAAAGTAGTATATAAATAATATCAGCACATTAAAAAAGTATATATATATATATTACTAATTACTTATCTAAAACTTGTTAGAACTAAATTTTCAAACGTTATATATGTTTAAAATTTGACATATTAGAAGTTTCAAACAAACTATTTTACATTACATACAACATTGTTCACTTACTGATGTGGCAGTGGCAGAAAGACCATAACTGAATAAAATTAATCCAGCAGTAAATAGAAAAGAAAGAATTATTGTGACCAATTTTATTTCAAAGCTAATTTTAACAAACAGTGCTTCATACAAATGGAAACAGCTTAAGTACAGGTAAAAAGTGTAATTGAGACAAATAACCTCGCCCATAACTTCATTAAATGCGTCGATACATTGCCAAAGTTCAACGTGTTTTCGGATGATACTCTCTAATGTCTGTCGCAAGAGCCGTTGTTTGATATTTAGTTTAGCTATTTCTTTCGACATTTTAACCAATCTCTTCTGTACAATATACGCTGTTAATGAAGCTCCGACAGTAATTGCTATAATGTGACCAATGATGTACAGAAAATGCAGAGCATGTAGAACAACCACAAGGAACGCTTCGGTATCTGTTCCTTTTAAATTTTTAATCTCGCCATAAAATATCATTTCTGGAATTACAGTGGCTAAAATGGCCATGAAAAATGTGATACAGTGCAGTCCAAAGTAATATATTTCCATTTTAGCATATTTTGCTTCTTCCCCTTTATATGAGCTCAATACACAGTGAGCAAAAATTTGTCTCCTCTTGAGAATGCTGTATTGAATTGAGAGATAACTCGATATTAGTGCATTTACTATTGATTCTATGAAAGCATTTTCCTTGTACATATTGTTAATTCGTAAACCGTAAAGGTTTCCATCAATTAACCTTATCAAGAACAGAATATTGATCAACCAGAGAAAGAACTCTACGAAATGCGTGTAGATTCGAAAGAGCAGAGAAGATGCAAGGTTTCTAGATACACATGATCACGGTTTAATTATATTCAATCCAAATGCAGCCGCAGAGTTTATTAAAGGAGCCAACAAATAAGCCAAACACACCATTTTTAATAAGAGCGTAAATTATATACTAATAGAAGTCAAAATTTCTGCTTATATGCAATAATTCAATTTGCTGCGCATTAACAATTATAATTTCATCAGACTTGAAAGACGTTAAACCTCTTGTAATAACGTTATTGTATGTTACTGCAGAGAAGTTTCTATAGTTACAGGATTGAGTTACTAGTTTATACAATAACCAACGAAAATAGAAAAATCTCATTTCATAACACTACTTTACTTGCACATAAATATGAAGTTATATAATTTTAATTTCCACTAGTCAGAAATCAGTCAGAATTGTTTTAAATTCATCGACTAAATGTATATTCATCATGCAAGTATATTTACGCACGCACACTAGTAAATAAGTTTTTAAATTTATGACATGTCTAACTGTTCTCTTTAGAAACAATTGATTCATTTTACATTATCTTGAAACANATGTGGAAAAAAATAGAAAATTTCATGTGGCCAGCCTATGCTGGCCAGGCGCAAACCCATGGCCGAATATTCAGTGTTGAGAAAACAGAATTGCTTTGTCACTGGTGGGTCATATATTTATGGTCATACAATTTAGTATATTAATTAACGATATATAACATATCGATAGAATATTTACCAACTATAATTAAATAAGCATTTGTATCCCCATACTTCTGCTGCGATAATTTAATTATAGGTTCAAAAGTGCGAGTGATAAAAATAGGTAGAAAAACAATGCTCTAATAGAAGATTAACTTTTCAATGGAAGATTCTATTGAAGTGACTACCTTGGCAACACTAAATTGGGGTATGTTAACAGTTAAGATAAAAAAGGTTTACTTTTATTCGCAATACTTCACTTTTATTATCGATATCTACTAATCGCAAAGTCGAATTCATGGATAAAAGTATTTTAGTTTTTTTCTGTAAATAGTTATTTTAATAAAAACAAATGTATTATCTGTGTTCTTTACTGAGCATTTTATTAACACATTAATTCTAGTAATGAAAAATTTTAATTGTTTAATATGTATAAAGTATTTGTAAAATGTAAATGTCGATTTAAAAAATAATATTATTGATTTAGAATCATCAATAATTAAGGTTTTCTAATGTTTAGCATTGTAGTAGTTTCGTAATTTTAGTTGAGTTTCTGGTATATTATGTTATTTAGTAATTTAATGATTATTGGCTTCTTTCAAAGGCATTTTAATTTCGATACTCAGTTAAAAATTATTCAGTATCTCTAGTAAAATAGTTACTAAGCTATAGCTATATAAATTTATAATAAAGAATAAACTAGAAATTCCACTCTTAAACATATACTTATAACGTGTAATTCAATTACTAAAGTAAAAAGGTCATATCTTCAAAGCATTATCATGTACTTTGAAATATTTTACATAATTTGTTTTGAAAACACTTGAGATCAACTTTAATTTACAGTGGTGGTGCATTAACTGTAATTCTTTACAGCAGGACATTCAGTCTTATACACAAAGTAGTCATTTTATTCTACAACACTTTTACTTTTGCACACTTGTACAGATACCAAGATTTATTTTAATTAATTCTAGTTTAATATTTCTAATATAGGTGTGAAATCCGAATAAATTTTACATGTTTATGTTTTAATATTTTGTTCTGTTATGTCTACAACATGTTAAATTGAACTATAAACAATGCAGCTTAACAGCGTGCTTGGCAGCATGCCCTGCACTGTTTTCAGTGCAACATTAATTGCTTTCTGAAGTTTTATGTAAATCAGTATATCGTATAAAACACCATAAATCGAGTAGTTATAAAAAATCCATCGTAAATACTTTAAAAAGCACAAATATTTATGAAAGTGTACTATCGAAAAGTATGAAAATTGATTGTTACAGAGGGTACAGTGGTGTAATAATTTCAATATAAAATAATTATTATGCAAATTAACGAAAGTGAATGTGCTCATATCTAAGTGAATCGACCTTAATATAGCGCATAATTGTGACAAACAGCAAAAATCGATTTTAATTAATAAGGCAGGCTGTAAATTCTTTATTTACTTTTGTATAAAAGTCACTTTACCAAGAAACACTCATNATTCTACAACACTTTTACTTTTGCACACTTGTACAGATACCAAGATTTATTTTAATTAATTCTAGTTTAATATTTCTAATATAGGTGTGAAATCCGAATATTTTTTACATATTTATGTTTTAATATTTTGTTCTGTTATGTCTACAACATGTTAAATTGAACTATAAACAATGCAGCTTAACAGCGTGCTCGGCAGCATGCCCTGCACTGTTTTCAGTGCAACATTAATTGCTTTCTGAAATTTTATGTAAATCAGTATATCGTATAAAACACCATAAATCGAGTAGTTATAAAAAGATCCATCGTAAATTCTTTAAAAAGCACAAATATTTATGAAAGTGTACTATCGAAAAGTATGAAAATTGATTGTTACAGAGGGTACAGTAGTGTAATAATTTCAATATAAAATAATTATTATGCAAATTAACAAAAATGAATGTGCTCATATCTAAGTGAATCGACCTTAATATAGCGCATAATAGTGACAAACAGCAAAAATCGATTTTAATTAATAAGGCAGGCTGTAAATTCTTTATTTACTTTTGTATAAAAGTCACTTTACCAAGAAACACTCATNATATAGGTGTGAAATCCGAATAAATTTTACATGTTTATGTTTTAATATTTTGTTCTGTTATGTCTACAACATGTTAAATTGAACTATAAACAATGCAGCTTAACAGCGTGCTTGGCAGCATGCCCTGCACTGTTTTCAGTGCAACATTAATTGCTTTCTGAAGTTTTATGTAAATCAGTATATCGTATAAAACACCATAAATCGAGTAGTTATAAAAAATCCATCGTAAATACTTTAAAAAGCACAAATATTTATGAAAGTGTACTATCGAAAAGTATGAAAATTGATTGTTACAGAGGGTACAGTGGTGTAATAATTTCAATATAAAATAATTATTATGCAAATTAACGAAAGTGAATGTGCTCATATCTAAGTGAATCGACCTTAATATAGCGCATAATTGTGACAAACAGCAAAAATCGATTTTAATTAATAAGGCAGGCTGTAAATTCTTTATTTACTTTTGTATAAAAGTCACTTTACCAAGAAACACTCATAAGATACTTATACTTGCTACTGTTATAAGTAAGGTTATTTGCGTCAAAGTACAGTCTATAAAAGACAGGACTTTTGAATTTAAATCTCGTAAGTACCTTTAGCTTTATTTCTATAAAACGAACAGCGAAAAATATAATTTCTGCATAACTAATCTACATTGTTAATTGTTTTAACTGTCTTACCTGAAAAAAAAATTTGCAAAAAAACTATTAGAGTATAAATATTAATTTAATGACTAGTTAAGTTAGTACCATATGGGTTTGTTAAAATGTTAAAAAATTTTTCAGAAATTTATAAAGCATGCTTGTAGAAACAATGGATACGTTCCTGGTGTTTTAAATATTTGACGACTCTTTTTATACAAAGTAATAATTGCAACAGAAAAAATGTGTCGTATTTTACGATTGTTTCTTTTACATGTAAATACATGGAACAAATTACGGATTAATACATATTATGTTAATTCTATTGTGCTGCTCATAATTTGGTTCTAAATTGGAATATTATTCTAATTTTTTATTTTGTATGAACACATTTACATAACAACTTGAGCAACTTGACATAAAGTCTTGTTTATTTTTCAGATATTTTCAATTAAACAAACATCACAATGAGTCACAAATGTATCTTTTGTTTTAAGTCTTTCTCTTCCAAAACTTCTCTCTATCGTCACAAAAAAACTCACACAGGAAAAAAGCAATTCGCATGTGATATATGTAAAAAATGTTTTGCAAGGAAATTTAACATGACACGTCATCGTAGAACTCACACAGGAGAAAAACCATACCAGTGCATTATATGTGATAAACGTTTTGCTGATAAAACTACTTTGTCTGTACATCATAGAAAGCACACGACAGAGAAGCCATTCAAATGTAACGTATGTGATAAGAGTTTTGCTACAAATAGCATTTTCTCTGTTCATCGCAAAACGCAAACAGAAGAGAAGCCATTCCAATGTGATATATGTAAAAAGTGTTTTGCAAGGAAATGTGACATGACCTGTCATCGTAGATCTCATACAGGAGAGAAACCATATCAGTGCGATATATGTGATAAATCTTTTCACGTAAATTTGTTTTGTTTGTTCATCGAACAAAGCATACCGAAGAAAAGCGTTTTAAGTGCGACATATGTGACCGAACATTTAAATATTACTCAGGTTGTTATAAACACAAAAAAATACATACCGTATTAGAGAAATTTACGTGTTATTTATGCGGAACTTCTTTTGCTCAAAAAGATAAAATGGTTAATCATGTTCGGGTGCATATTAATTCAGGTTGTCCAAAGTGTGACTGCAAGTTTTCATGTAAAAGAAGCTTTTTAGCTTACGTTCTTCAACATTCGAAAGAAACACCACGACTGTGCGAAACTTGTTTTCACCCTTTTGCTCGGATTTCTGCTTTTAAATTGTATAAGACTATTCTATCGTTTCCGGAAAATGCATCTTACTGCACGGATTGTGGATTAAAAATATAAATTGTAAAATATTTAGAAAATTTATATTAAGTTTTGTGCGATGTTACGCAAATTAGTCGTATTTGCGTGAAATTATCGCTGAGAATATCAACGAGAGATTCCCAGTTCGAAGAATTTTAACTTTTATTTTTCAGCAGAAAGCTAAGANTACTGTATATTAAATTCATGGAAAATATATAATTTTGTACATTAATATTTCGTGCAGTTGTATCTTAGTAACATCATGATTAAATACTGTATAATTAGAGCAGATGAATAGTTAATTTTTACAGTAAAAACACACTATTATTCACGTGTCACTTAAATAGCTGTACTATCTAAAGCAGCTAAAAAGAGACCCAAATTTGCCTACATAATTTTTTAATATTTGAAATATTTTGCAGAAAAGGAAAGTGTAAAGGAAAACATAAAAACACGTATATAAATACATTAAGTGTAATTGTTGGAGTTTGGCATATTTGATGAACGGTGTTATTGAAAACGGGTATTAAAGTCTATTATTATATATACGTATTGAGAACTTTCGTTAACTGTTATATTTATAAAATAATAATGTCTATAACTAATAATTTACGAAAAGTTTTGAAAAATATCTTGAGTAATAGAATACATGGAATGTGCATTTCGACTTTCATGTATTGCTTTTGTATTTTCTTAAACACGCATAGCATTTAAACACGAAGTAGTTGAAGAATTTATGTTAGCTGTCTTCATTTTGCTTATTTTTCATTAAAGTAAATTTACTGAATAAGCAAGCACAGTTTGATCATACAGTTAACACGATAAACTTTTATAGCATTAAAGGTTGGCAGTTGCTTATTGAACAGGAAAAGAATTTTGTTATATATAGCAACTGTTGTAATTATTTACTAATTCATTGATATTAACAACATTATTAATACAGTTAGTAATTTCTTTGATTTGTTTTTGCAAAAAATCATTTTTATTTAAAAAATAATATACAGATAACCTCCCTATAACACAGTAGTTACGTTCGAAAAACTTGCCGTGTTATGCGAATCCGTGTTATACGAAACAAAGAACTAGCAGGAAAAGAATTTTGTTATATATAGCAACTGTTGTAATTATTTACTAATTCATTGATATTAACAACATTATTAATACAGTTAGTAATTTCTTCGATTTGTTTTTGCAAAAGATCGTTTTTATTTAAAAAATAATATACAGATAACCCCCCTATAACACGGTAGTTACGTTCGAAAAACTTGCCGTGTTATGCGAATCCGTGTTATACGAAACAAAGAACTAGTATGAAAAGAAGGGGTAGGTTCCAAAATTTAAAAAACGTGCTAGTATATTTTCATAATTAAGATAAATATCTTTATTAAAATTTTTTAAGTGATACATATTAATATAAATTAAACAATGTTTTCTTCGTCATCACTAAAAGCACTATTAACTGAGAGCATTTTCTTTTTGGCAAGTTATCCTTATCCTCTGAGTACTTTTCTGCATTACTTTCAGATCCATGCTTTACCTTTCGCAAAATGTATGTAATTTTAAATTGCTTACTTTTAGTTGAAAGATGTTTATAAATTTCCTTATATGTCGCTAAGCACTAATGAAGAATAAAGCAAGTATGGAATAAGGGAAAAACATCTGGCAACATAAGAAGCAGAAGCGTCGAGATCTGTCAACATTGAAACAAGTTTCGAGAAGAACCATGTGTATTCACAGAAGGCGAGAAATGAAAATTTACATACTTAAGTACTAATAGTTCAGAAAAGTAATTTTCGTTTACTATTATTACTTAAGTATGTAAAAATTTATTACATTTCATGTTGTACGAGGGTTTGACCCAATTCTCGAACCGTGTCAGAGTGAATCCGTTCTATAACAGTACCGTGTTATACGGGGATGGTACCAATTCGCAAATCGTGTTAGAGTAAATCCGTGCTATAAAAGAGCCGTGTTATACGGGGGTAACCTGTAATTCCTTCTACTCCTTCGTTTCTCATCCAATTCCATTTATTTGCTAATCAAAATTACGCACTTATTTAAAACTTAAAACGAAATAGGCGATAACGAACACACTAAAAAATTAAATATATTGGAATAAAACACCAAAATTAACTAAATAACTTGTNGGGTTAGGTTCCAAAAATTAAAAAAACATGCTATTATATTTTCATAATTAAGATAAATATCTTTATTAAAATTTTCTTAAGTGATACATGTTAATGTAAATTAAACAATGTTTTCTTCGTCATCACTAAAAGCACTATTAACCGAGATCGTTTTCTTTTTGACAAGTTATCCTTATCCTATGAGTATTTTTCTGCATTACCTTCAGATCCATGCTTTACCTTTTTCAAAAAGTATGTAATTTTAAATTGCTTACTTTTAGTTAATTTAAGAATAATATATTTGAATGAATTTCTAAAATAAAAGTAAATTTCTCTCAACAATAATTTAATTAATTAACAGTATCAAACAGAATTATTCCAGGACGATTGATTTTTTTAAAGTTTTGATTTTGTCTGCAAGGAAGACCCTTTTATTACCTTCGGCTGGCTGAGCATAATTGATGGTAGTAGTAACTTTGCCGTCGATTAATTTGTCAGTTAAGAGCGATTCGGGTCTAAAAACATCGTTATTTTTTCTTATTTAGTTCACTGAAATTTACTGTTCGTAAGGCAAAAATCACTTTAATGTATTATAATGTAAAATTTATCTCAAATAAACATGACACGTAATAAATTATGTCCCGCGATGTTTAACTCGTATTTATTTCACTTTAATGTGTATACAACGTTTAGAAATTGGTTGTCTGCGTGATATATCAACTTTTCAAATGAAAAGTTTTCGTTATTAAAACTTTTTACGGTCTATAATTTAGAAAAACGACATTTACGGTAAAATTCACTTATTCTAATTTTTTTCGTATCTGAAAATAATGCGAGTGACAATATTTGATCTTCGTGCAAACACGACCACTTGTCATGTTTCTGAATACACTTCTAACAATAAACGAATTCTCCGTAATAATACAAATGAATGTTATCGCCCTAAATAAATGACACGTACGTAAACAAGTAATAATATCCATATTGTTATCTAATCAATGAACTTTGTATTTATTCTAAAAACCATCTTTTTTCGGTACATATAAGCAATTGTTTTATGCACAAAATGAAAATTACAAAACGAAGAAGATCAAACTTTAGAAATTTCTTGTTTCATGTTCAATAATATCTAAAATACGAGTATTACAATTTTTCAAGGAAAGTTAGTAAAATCGTTTCCACAAGTCATTATTCGTTACTATTATGAAGTTTAATAATATGATACTTTAATGTATTATAATGTAAAATTTCTCNTTTTAAGTGATACATGTTAATGTAAATTAAACAATGTTTTCTTCGTCATCACTAAAAGCACTATTAACCGAGATCGTTTTCTTTTTGACAAGTTATCCTTATCCTATGAGTATTTTTCTGCATTACCTTCAGATCCATGCTTTACCTTTTTCAAAAAGTATGTAATTTTAAATTGCTTACTTTTAGTTAATTTAAGAATAATATATTTGAATGAATTTCTAAAATAAAAGTAAATTTCTCTCAACAATAATTTAATTAATTAACAGTATCAAACAGAATTATTCCAGGACGATTGATTTTTTTAAAGTTTTGATTTTGTCTGCAAGGAAGACCCTTTTATTACCTTCGGCTGGCTGAGCATAATTGATGGTAGTAGTAACTTTGCCGTCGATTAATTTGTCAGTTAAGAGCGATTCGGGTCTAAAAACATCGTTATTTTTTCTTATTTAGTTCACTGAAATTTACTGTTCGTAAGGCAAAAATCACTTTAATGTATTATAATGTAAAATTTATCTCAAATAAACATGACACGTAATAAATTATGTCCCGCGATGTTTAACTCGTATTTATTTCACTTTAATGTGTATACAACGTTTAGAAATTGGTTGTCTGCGTGATATATCAACTTTTCAAATGAAAAGTTTTCGTTATTAAAACTTTTTACGGTCTATAATTTAGAAAAACGACATTTACGGTAAAATTCACTTATTCTAATTTTTTTCGTATCTGAAAATAATGCGAGTGACAATATTTGATCTTCGTGCAAACACGACCACTTGTCATGTTTCTGAATACACTTCTAACAATAAACGAATTCTCCGTAATAATACAAATGAATGTTATCGCCCTAAATAAATGACACGTACGTAAACAAGTAATAATATCCATATTGTTATCTAATCAATGAACTTTGTATTTATTCTAAAAACCATCTTTTTTCGGTACATATAAGCAATTGTTTTATGCACAAAATGAAAATTACAAAACGAAGAAGATCAAACTTTAGAAATTTCTTGTTTCATGTTCAATAATATCTAAAATACGAGTATTACAATTTTTCAAGGAAAGTTAGTAAAATCGTTTCCACAAGTCATTATTCGTTACTATTATGAAGTTTAATAATATGATACTTTAATGTATTATAATGTAAAATTTCTTAACTACAAATGATACCTAAAAAATAATGTCCCGCAATGTTTAACTCGTTTTTATTTTACTTTAAGCTTCGAAGTTAATGGTCTATGTGATATATCTATTTTTCAAATGAAAACTTTTCGTTATTAGAATTTTTTACTGTTTATGATATTAAAAAACGGCGTTTACAGTAAATTAACTTATTGTAATAAAGCGAGTGACAATAACTGACCTTTGTATGAACACGATTACTTGTCATGTTTCTGAATACACTTATTCTAACCATAAACGAACTCTCCGTAAATAATAGAAATGAATGTTATCGTCCTAAGTAAATGACACGTACTTAAACAAGTAAAAATAACTATAAATAAATATTACTTTTTAATCAATAAAATTTAAATTAATTTCACAAACCCTCTTTTTTCGGTACATAAAATCAACTATTTTATGTACAAAATAAAAGTTACAAAACCAAGAAAATCAAACTTTAGAAATTTCTTGTTTCATGTTAAATAAAATCTAAAATACGCGTATTACATATTTTTCGAAGAAATCTACTAAAATCATTCCCATAAAAGTCATTATTCATTACTATTATGATGTTTAATAATATGATACTTTAAAGAAGGTTTAACACGAAATTTTTGTAAGCAATGATTACACGAAAATGGTTTCTCTCTGGTGTGAAGACGAAGATGTTTTATCAGATTATGTTTTCGCGTAAAACTTCGCTTGCAATGGTCGCAAGAGAAAGGCTTCTCTCCGGTGTGAAGACGAAGATGTCCTATCAGATTACCTTTTTGCGTATAACTTCGCTTGCAATGGTCGCAAGAGAAAGGCTTCTCTCCGGTGTGAAGACGAAGATGTCCTATNTAAAATCATTTCCACAAAAGTCATTATTCATTACTATTATGATGTTTAATAATATGATAATCTAAAGAAGGCTTAAAACGAAATTTTTGTGAGCAATGGTTACACGAGAATGGTTTCTCTCCGGTGTGAAGACGAAGATGTCGATTCAGATTTCCTTTATGTGCAAAACGTTTCTTGCAATGATTACAAATAAAAGATTTCTCACCGGTGTGAGTCTTGACGTGGTTTTGTAGAATGCTGGAATGGATAAACTGACGATTACAGTATTGGCAAGACAAGAGCCCTTCTCCAGTGTGAATCCTTCGATGATATTTTAACCCATTTNACTTCGCTTGCAATGGTCGCAAGAGAAAGGCTTCTCTCCGGTGTGAAGACGAAGATGTCCTATCAGATTACCTTTTTGCGTATAACTTCGCTTGCAATGGTCGCAAGAGAAAGGCTTCTCTCCGGTGTGAAGACGAAGATGTCCTATCAGATTACCTTTTGCGTAAAACTTCGCTTGCAATGGTCGCAAGAGAATGGCTTCTCCCCTGTGTGGGTTCGAAGATGTCGAATGAGAGTTCCTTTTTGTGTAAAACGTTCTTTGCAATGATCACAGGCAAAACGTTTCTCTCCAGTGTGAGTCTTGATGTGGTCAAGTAGATTACAGGATTGGGTGAACTGACGATTACAGTATTGGCAAGACAAGAGCCCTTCTCCAGTGTGAATCCTTCGATGATATTTTAACCCCTTTTTCGAAACGAATTCTTTCTCGCAACTGCCACATCGATACATCCCATTTCTTGATTTTTGATTGTTTAAACCTGTAATATATCATAAAAGCATTAAAACCAAAACTGCCTTCACTTTATTGCTAATCGAATATGTAAATATCTAAAATTAATCTCTGGTTTTAAAGGATTGTTAAAGTGTGTATGCAGATAGAAAACAATTTTCCTTTTAACAAGTTTCTTTAAACTAAAGTTTAAACCTTACAACTAACTGGACCACATCACATCAGACAATAGATCATACATAAACTGCTTACATTAGTATTTGCGAATATCTCCAAGCAGTATAAACATACTACCACTAATTAATGTAATTTATACATTTATCTCAAAACAATTTATATGAAATGTATTTTAACAAATAACATATTTGAAAATTATTTAAAATATCTTCTTTATTTCATTTTCTGTTTCTTTTCATTTGCTTGACATATATTCTTCTCTTTTCATATTCTCGTATAATTCTTCATTTGTTTCTCTTCTCCTTATTGCTTAATACTGAATCTGAAAATAAAGTTTTGGCTGAAATGAGATACGAGAGTGACGTCATACATTATTTTATAAAACAAGTTAAATATTTCAAATTAAATAATTTTAGAAATTCTTTCTTGAACACGTCGCACCACAGAATAAAACCTGGGTTCAAAATCTGAAAAATAAATGTTTTTAATATAACTTTCTTAATGAAAAATTCGTATACGTGTGAAATGCTTTGATTAATTATTAATACCATATTTAAAATAGTTTTAACCGCTATGTTTAGAAAGAAGTAGATCAGATAATACTGTATTTTACGAAGATCTTTTCCTTTTATTTTCACATGTCACAGCTTTGATTGAAAAATTTGAAATTTTAAAAACAACCATTTCTAACCTTTTCCTAAAAATTGTGGTTTTTACAATGCCTAAGAAAAAATGAAAGTTGTACTTACGTTTGTTGACTTTGTACTTTTGTCATTCTTTTATTTTAACAATAGAGTAGTGCCGATTATATATAACTGCTTTCAGAAGAAAACTTTTCAATCGAAATAGCGTGACATCCGATTTGCAGCGGAATTTCATGTACAGGTAATCGAGACATCCCGCTGCTTCTAACGATTCCATAATTGCTCTCGTCTTTCATCTAACTCCGTTCTGGAGATATAATAATTCAGTCAAAAACACGCTCCGCGTTTAAACCCGTTATGGATTTTTATAAATTTTTCGAAATACTTCTATAGGCGTATCAAAGAATTCTCTATTGCAACAACCAACTTGTTCCATTGTATTTTTATCAATAAATTAAAACAGCGCCCGACTGACCAATTATAAAGTTTTACCTTTGAATGGCCAAAAACTTTTTTTCCATTTTTTCTCGGTACAATTTCCTACTCCAAAATAAATTAATAACACAAAATATCTCTCGTCTTCTTTCTCGTCGTTTACTCAAACGTCTCTTAACGATTGGGTTGTAAAGGAACATTTTTCGTATTTGAATAAATCCAGTGGCGCCCTCTGTAATTCCAGATGTAAAAAACTTCATTTTTTCCGATATTTTTAATCGTAAAATTAAGCGTCAAATTTCCAATCATATTTTACTCAAACTCTATTTACTAGGCATAATATCTCATTAAAAATTTACTAGAAATAAATGTTTTCTAATGTTAATATACAGTGCCGCTGGTTAGTTTTTCGACCTGATGACGGAATTATCATAATAAATATTCTCTAATCTTTTATTTTTCAAAATCATCTTATTTATATTAAATTAGAATTAATATTTATTAATTATTATGAAAATTTTTGCAAATTGTAATAAATGATTACTTGCTTAGAAGACAACAAAAAATTATTTATTCTTCTAGTTGATGATTTCTTTTATTAGGAACAAGATTGCTTTAATATAAAGGAGAACTTCAACTGAAATTTAACACATACAGCTCCTCCCTTAATAATTCTACGTTTATTAATCCGACATGCTCAGTTGTCCGACGCACCTCCGGTCAAGGTACCTGTCGCCGTTACGTGTCTGCTTGCACAGAAGCATGTCGCGACGTGAATCTTTTCGTGTGTTTTCTGTGAGCAGTTCTGTTCGAACAGTTGGAGTAGGGAATATTGTAAGCTACTGCTAGCAAAACAATGCAAAATATGTAATTATTTTCGGTAATCCGAACACTTTTGGTAACCCAACACCCCTTTGGTCCCATACCTGTCGGACTATTAAGGGAGAGCTGTATTTTATAATTATTATTGCTTTCATAAATTCATATATTTTTATACGTATAATGTTATTTGCTGCATATAAAAACAGAATAAATAAATTGCAAGTAGATACTTTTTTAAAAACATCAAATTTGTCAAATATTACTTGTGAATTTTAAACATAATCCCTGGTCGCAAGACCCAATTATCGCTGGACCTTGTGTATGAGACAAAGGAACAATGAACTTACCGTTTTCTCTTCCTTTCAAGTTGAACCTTGCCGTCGTTTCTTTCTTTTTATTCAGATGTGATGAACTTCTGTCCTCACTGGTGGCTCCAATTTGTTACGGCTAACGGGAATCTTAGCCAGGTACAAGTTCAAAGTGGTGAGTCCGTATCCCAAGGTTCAAATCTATTCTGGGGTATAACTTCGTTCTTCTTGCATCTCGCACTGATCGACGTCCTCACAACCAGAGACCAAACCAAAAAGTGACTGACCCTGCGGTTCCTCTCGTACAGCGCAGGGTTATTCTCCCAACGACTTCCGTTTTCGCGGTTAGGGGTTTTCTGCCTTAGGGGCGTTTAGTCATAATCCCACGAACAATAGTTTCGCGCCACTGGCAACTCGACCAATCACATATACAGTACAAAGTGTCCGTTACAAACTCGATATGAATGCCGAGATAGAAAGGTTAAAGAATCTATACATTTGTTTTTATATGCGGTTTATATCAGGTATATTATAGAAATTTGTGAGGTTTTAACAGATATAAAATTCTTTACCCAATTGAAACGGTGTCTTTCTGTTTTCTCTATTTTCTGAGGAAAATATCATACAGCATACATATAAAATTAACTAAGTTTCGAAACTGCAACGAGGCCACGGCAAAAAGCTGAAATCTCACTATTATGTCACAATCAAATCATTTTTACTTTATATTTTTTGGTCAAATTTTCTTAATTTCTCAGGTAACATTGATATTTGTGCTTAATCTTGAATTAAAAAGATGTGCTTAAGTCAGGTCTTAACATTTAAGGTAGGGTCTGTTTATAGTATGGTTCGTGATTCATTTACATTTTACGCATCAATTAGTATATTTGATTTCAGTAAATTTTCTAACATTTTAAATATGTGTCATGTATAGTGTTCAAAGCAAACTGCAATGCACTCTTTTGTTATTACAATGAAATGCGGCTTATAAGAAAAGTAGGGGGACTAGTGAGGCGACAATCTACCAGAAATTACGAGACACGAACAAACGAAAGCATCAAAAATTTAAGAATAATAATTGAAAAAAAAATAAAACAAAACCATTGAAAATACTATACTAATTAATCTTTATAGTATTAGACGTTTGCAACCGAGTAGCAGCTTTAAACGTATATTGATTTGATCAACGGAAAATCTCTAAGTAAATGTTTAAAATTTCATAAAAACGTTTATTTCAGGTTTAAAAGCATTTTACAGAAATTTATGAGCAAAACTTAACAGTAAAATTCATTAAAATTACAGGAAGAAATTTCCGAACTATATTAAAATTTTTAAAAATTACAGGAAGAAATTTCCGAACTATATTAAAATTTTTAAAAAATACTTGTTATATTCNGATTTACCCCTATCTTACCATTAAAATTTTTAAAAAATACTTGTTACATTCAATAACTAAAGCAGAAGTACCGATTATTCTAACATTTGTCTTTACTTTTTTCTTCTATTCTTAGCGATTTACATATCGGCGCAACAATGAAGGATAAACAACAACAAAGCCTACGATTGAGGGACGTCCTGCTTGCATTGATGGTCCCTGCACGTTTCTAGTTGAAGGATCCGCTTGCATCGATGGTTACTGCATGTTACGATTTGACGGTTTTACTTTTATGAATGGTTCCTGCACGTATCGAGTTGGACTTGCTTCCATCAATAGTTCTTGCACGTTTCTAGTTGAGGGTTCTTCTTTTATCGATTGTCGTTGCACGTTTCTAGTTGAGGGTTCTTCTTTTATCGATTGTCGTTGCACGTTTCGAGTTGAAGGACCAGCTTCCATCCATGGTTCTTGCACGTTTCGAGTTGAAGAACCTGCTTCCATCCATGGTTCTTGCAAGAATTCAGTGGAGGATGCTAAATATTCGTGAACCCTGATGTTCTGAAATAGTTTTTCTTCAGTTGTAAAATTTGCAGGGCAAATTGTACATTTATACGGTTTCCTTGAATGCATTTTCAGATGAAGAAGCAAGTTTCTTCTAGTTTTCAAACACTTAAAGCATTGTTTACAAACGTAAGGTCTCGCATCTGGGTGGATGTCATTCATGTGTTGTAGTAAAGTTTCTTCAGTAATAAATCCCTGTCGGCAGAATTGGCACCGATGTTTTTCCATCGACTGATTTAACTGACGAAAAATGTATAAATGTCTATGACGAAAAATCAAATCACATATAAGGCATCGATATACCATGTTTTCTTCTTGAATGATCTGTAAATAAGTAAAATAAACTACATTGAAATTACAAGTAAAAATTTTTGAAGATTGATTTGAAATTAATAACACTGCACAATGAAACAGCAAAAATAAAAAAAATTAGTCATTTGAAATTATGGGGGTTCAAAAGAAAAATAAATGAACATTGCACAAAAATTAATTTCGTAGGAAGAAATAATAATAATATTACCAAATTAAATGAACTTTATAAGCCAAAACAATATTAAACGTCTCATATTTTTACATTTTCATTTTTATAAATTAGGTAAAAAACAGGCCAACAAAAATCTATTTTAAAGTTCTTTAATAACTGTTATATTCATTCCCCACTATTAAGTAATATAAATTTTAACTTAACGCTTAACTAACAAAGCAGTAAAATATTGACATAAAATGGATACTTTATACACTAACTTAACATAAAAAGTAGAACCACTCTCTTCAGAATATTCGTTTTTTCAAAAGAAGTTTCCTTTATTATTAGGTGAGGTCAGAGAGTAAAATAAACTACATAAAACATTAAGTTTTATGTACAAAATCTGGTATAATAGCTGATAAATACTTTAGATTTAGTATATGTCTTTTCAATCGGAATGGTTAACAAACGGTAGACTTTCTTTCAGCTCTGAGGTTAAGTATTCTTTTATTGTAAATTACATATGCATTTCAGGCTTGTATGAGCCCCTGTTCAGTGTAAATTCTCAGATGGTTGAGTAACACATTTTTAAAAATTGTATGACATCAACAATGACATTATTACCAACGAAACACATGAATAACAATCGTATATTAGTATAATTCCCAAACCTGTTCTTTTTATCCATTTTGTCATTAAATTTTCTTCACAAAATTGTAATTTCTTCACAAAATGTAATTTACAATAGAGGAATACTTAACCTCAGATCTGAAAGAAAGTCTACCGTTTGTTAACCATTTGGATTGAAGAGACATATACTAAATCTAAGTTTTATGTAGTTTATTTTACTCTCTGACTTCACCTAATTTATTTATTTAGTTTAATTATAATGCTTAGACATTAAGTTTAAACGTTTACATCGTCAATAATCAATGATATTATAATTAAAACTTAAAATTAGTTTCAATATTTGAACTAAAAGAACCCAGTTTAACTGCATTCGTTCAAAGTGGAGAGAAGCAGCAAGCAAAAAAAATATGCTTAATTCTTTGCTTACGATGATATTTAATTATAAACATGTTTAAATAGTACACCGTTATTTTATTTACACATTGCCAAATCTGTTCTACTTGAAACCCTATCATTAGATGTTAATTAAAAAGAAAAGCTTAAATCTTCCGAGTCAAACTAATTGGTTGAGAAAAAGAAATGTCTGGGAGTTATTAACTTAATGTTTAGTATTAACTTGATTTTAAAATATAAATTAAAGTAACTGTTATACATACCTGACTGTTTCTTAATTTACAACGTACCAAGCTGAAAGTTCTTTCTAAACAAGTGTTACCTCATCTACTGTTTTAATAACCATAAAAGCACATTGTGTTTAAGAATAATAAGTAAAATCTTAATGTTTCGTAAATAAACTACAGTTTTATTTATATTTCGGTTTTATAAAAGAGTTAATAATGACTGAAGGTTTTTAGAAAATAATTATTATATTATTAATTTACATAATTACTTATTTTACCAGTACTAAGCTGAAGTCAACACGAAACTATAACAAAATCTTTTCTGTTGTTAAAATTATTTTAAAATATTTTATTAAATAAAATATTTTTATAATACATATTAACTAACTAAAAACTTCTTCAATTACAAAAAGTTATTTACGTTAAAATTAACGATGTTGCACTTAGTTCTGCATTTAGTTCAACGTCATTCAGTTTTTGAGAAACTTCGCATTCTACAATAATTTTCTGATCTAAGCTGCAACGAATGTTTATTCTGTAAGCTTGGTTATCAAAAAAATTGTTTAAGGAATTTGAAATAAGCGTCTTCTTAATCCAGTGCATTCACGAATGTTTTTATTAATTGAAGTTATATATACAGTTGTGAGAACCGAGGGAATATAGCTTCGAGCTTCTCCTCGCTTCCCAGCGGCTCGGTCAGAGAATGGATATTATAGGAGGAAAAAATGTGAGTAAGGAAAGTAATGAAAAAGTCGATTGGTTGCCGAATACACGCATGGAGGTTATCAATTGTACTCAAGGATGATCCAGCATTAAATATAAAATAACACATTTAATTAACTAATTAACTATCTACACATAAGGGTACAAAGCGAAAAGCTACAAAAAAGATCACTCAAAATTATTCTATATCGTGACAAAAAATACACGCTAGTCGATCAACCGTCTACGTGCTAGTTCTATAAAACATATTATTCTACTAAATTCAACTAGACTATAGTAATCTATATCAGAGAGAGAGAAACAAGGAACTAAAGAGCTAGGATCAAATTTAGATCAAATACTTCTCGTGTTTCCGGTCTCGCTGTATGGGCGTTGTTTACGAACTGTCCCCCGATCGGCTGACTCTACTTGTCTTCTCTTCGTGTGTTACGATGGAGTTGCGCTCCGTTGATGTCTGACTGTAGAGGTCTGCATGGAGAAGTCTGCTGAGGGTGTACCTGGCGGGGCCCTCACTGGCTCTCCGCCCCGAGGTTCAGTGGACCCTTTTTTATTCCTGTTCAGAGGAGGGAAAAACTTCGGAGTACATTCTGGTGCAATCCCGTGTAAGTTCGACGGGACGAGGAAAGTTTTGATTTCTGTCAATTATTATAACCATTTGGGTAGAATTATTACTTTTTCTATCCCGTCTTGTTACGTTTTCTAACTCATAAATTTGATAACAGTTGTCAAACTGACGGAATTAATTGCTGGAAGTGACTACGGTTAGGATATGTGTTTCAACCTTATTAATGATTGTTCGTTTGGTGGGTTCTTCGATCGTTTTTATCATCGTTAAAATCGAAGTAATAAATGTGTGGGTTGTGTTTTTCTCCCATCTCCAAAAGAGTTAAGAGGTCACTTTTCGAAGTGACAGAGAATTAAAAACACAACGATGAGAAAATTTTGTCAAAGCTCGAAAATTCACGCTAGAGCTCGAATTCTCACACAGTGTAGGAAACAAGACCTTTTTGGTGTGAACTAGAAATATATTCTGTATAGTAGCTTGAAACAAACAAAACAAATATTTTTCTCTGTGTTATTCTAGAACTTTAAGTGGTACACCAGTGGCCCACAAATGACCTAGCTATTCCGTGCCCTGAAGAGAAGGAGGTTGATCGTGGGTTCGCGCCTCGTTAGAACGGGTTGGCTACATGGAGTTTTCCAGGTTTACTCCATGCCTGTAACACCTGAATAAAAGCCTGTTAATAAGTCTTCTTGAAAAGCATCTCGCTTAGGCAGATTGATTAAGTGATGCCTTTCCAAAACTTAATAAACAAACTATTACTTTAAGAAGATTTTAAGTTACTCTACTCTCCCAAAGACAAAGAAAACGACAATAAATTATAAAACCATCCCGAAGTCCAAATAACTGCCTATAACTTTTAAATCTCCACATATTTGTATTAGAACACTAAGTTTTCGTATCAAGTTTTTTTTAGATTCTTACTAGCACAACTAGAAAATCTCATGTGCTAGAGAATTTTTAATTTAATTTTTGTATTTATCGCATAAGAGTTAACATTGCAAAGGAAAAAATACTTCTATTCTCACAGTCACAAAATGGCTGTAAACTAGTATTATTATGTGGCACGATCAATTTCAATGGTTTTTATTTATGATAGCTTTAACGTAATCCAGCATGAAGTTTTGTATCAATTTATTACTCGGAGTATGAATAGTTCAACAAATTAATCATACTTTCCTAATCATTTTCGAGCGCACATCTTCCTTATCTTAAATAAATTGCATATTATCTTTAGATACGTTTTTAAATGGTGTGTCAGCCACGTAAAATTTTAAATGCTCATAACATCTGATATATGTATCTCGCAACAAGAATGTTTAACTTAAAAATGAGCTTTTAAATATAAACATTATTTAAAAAATAAAGTCTTCTTTTTTGCCTATAAAAGGTACGGACAAGAATCAATTGGGCAGCCACTTTAACGTCCAGTCCCGAGTTAACTCGGGCATGTTACATAGCGTTACAAAAATTCGGTAGTTAAGGCAAGTTTTGACAAATTTTTTTAAATTTTTGGAATGTTTCTTAAGTCCCCAAATTTTTTAAAAATTTTTTGCTTACAAGAAAAAATTTTATCGCGATTTTAATAAGCCTTTGATAAGGCTCGATTAAGGCTTAATTGTTTTTTATAGGGAGTTTTTTATCAAATTTATTTCATGGTTCCTAAGTTGTAGTTTACAGATTAGACTTCGGTAAAGTTATTTAAAGATGCTTTCTGATGTCAAAAACGACCTCCAATAGTTTTTAAATTTTTTAATTAATATATTTTATTTGATATAAATTTAATTAATTACGGGGGTCGGAAATCGATATAAAATTTGTAATTTTAAAAAAATATTTTAAAATATACGTCTAGTTATTTTTCACCCTACTTTAAACCCTTCTCCTTCCGAGACATCTGTGAAAATGTCCCAGGAAATCTGACTCTAGCTGTTCTCAAGGTCATCCAGCTGTGTAAACAATGACTCATTGGTGTTATATTTTACAGAAAGGCGAGACAAAGGAAAATAAAATTGGAAGCTTTTTCTTCAAAATTAACGCATTTCTTTTGTTTTTTCAGTTTTAAGTATTTTATATGCTTAATTATATTATAATTAAAACCAGGTGGGCGTTGAGAGGTTAAAGAATGATAAACCCACTTTATTGCTTGTCGCAAATCAGTCGGCAATTCACATGTTCACTAAGGAAAGATAACCAAGGGTAAAAAGCATATTGAGATTCAGGGAAAATTTATTCAGCAGCATATTGGCACAACTCTTGAACTGCAACATATTAAAAGCGCCGATCAGCTTGCTGACATACTAAC